TTGGCCATCCAACGCACTTAGCGCCAGGTCCATCGGGCTATATCAGTGTGAGCCATAGGCTTTTTCTCATCCTATTATTTCCATAGACTTCATACTTAGAATCACCCTTTGCTTGACACAGCAAACTTAATGTGTCACGTTTTCACTGATCAACTGCAAGTTTACTTCAATACATTCTGTACTGCAGTGTTTTCTTTCTGTATTCTTTTTTTTCCCGTTAGGTCAGATGTGGCGGTTCGCACCATCGCTTCCATGCAATAGTTTTCTGTTTGCGTTTCATGTCATGGTCGATTTATTTGAGTTCTCATAATTGATTTGAAATCAAAATAATAACGAAAGTTCTTTGTTTCATACGTCGCGCAAACGGACCGCTCCTCCCATGAAAACGGTGGCGATATTTGCGAGGTGAGGGTGAACGAGGAAAAAATGTTGAAAGAGGTCCTACACGACGGCGATGAGGCAGTCACAGCAGATAATAAACGATTGGTGCTGGCGCGGAAACAACGTTTGCCACTGCAGTTGCGATGCTAAGTGCCTAAATCGATGCTTTACGAGGTGCTAGCCATAATGGCTAGAATGACTGATGACCAGTACCCAGTTGCACGTAGGGAGCATAAGACTGCTCTGAACAGCAAGAGGAAGCGAATGCTGAGCTCAGGAATAGGAAAGCCATGCAGCCTGCTGTGCAGCATGATGCAAGGAACGCAGTACTCTGGTGTCGAAAGCCGGGGGCGGCCGGGAATTGAACCCGGACCTCTTGCTTGCTGGTCAGGTGTGCTACCATTACACCACGGAACTCGGAATTTTATGCCTCTCAATGTGATCTCAAATCTCTACATTTGTTTGCGCAGCGAGCACTGTCAGGCTGTACATTTTGCTGTAGGGAAGGGACATTTGTTCCACATTACTGCCACAACGGAAAAGTGCTCCTGCTGCAATTCACACTTAACGCTCACACTGTTGTTCACTGGTGCTAATGTTAAGGCGAGGCATTTTTAGGAATTATTCGTTAGTATTCTGTTGCACATGCGCTAAATTCCCTCTGTGCTGAAGTCGAACAAATTCTTCGAAACGGCCCGTACTGTTTCAGAATCATTGGTGTATGTACCATAAACGAATGCTAATTACTCATGAGCTAATCAGTGATGCAAGAGTATTGAATGTGCTGGGAAGAAGTTGTGGCGGTGGTTGTCACCACAACGCGCGAAGCCTACAAGACTAAATCATTTTAGGCCATAGTCTAGGCTATGCCTTCCTTGGCGATGGGCTTGATCAGCCACCGCTCAAACCGCCAGTCCTTGGGCTATGCTAATCTAGGCCAAAGGCTTGGCCATCTAACGCACTTATAGCCCAATAGACCTGGCGCTATCAGTCTGAGCCATTCGCTCAGGTTCATTTCATTATTTCCAAAGGCTTCATACTTTGTAACACCCTTTGATTGAGACAGCTAACTGAATGCGTGTCACGTTTTCACTGATCGACTGGAAGTTCTTCATTTGAATACATTCCTTGCTGTGGTGTTTTTTTCTGTATTTATTTTTTTTCCTTCAGGTCAGACGTGGCGGTTCGCGCCATCGCTTCCATGCAATAATTTTCTGTTTGCGTTTCATGTTATGGCCTATTTGAGTCCTCATGATTGATGAAGTCAAAGTAGTAGTCTCTACTTCATACGTCGCGCAAACGAGGTGCACCTCCCATCAAGATGTTGGCAATTTTTGCGAGGTGAGGTTCAACGCGAAGAAGAAATGTTGAATGACGTCCCACACGACGGCGATGAGGCAGTTGTTGTTGGTGAAACACGGTTGGTCTGGCGAGAAAACAAAGTTTGACACTGTAGTTGAGTCGGGAAGTGCCTATATCGGTGCTAGCCGTAATGGCTAGAATCAGTGATGAACAGCAATCATGTGCGTAGAGCCGCTTAGACCGCTGAACAGCAAGAGGCAGCGAATGCTGAGCTCCGGAATAAGAGAGCCGTGCAGCTTGCTGAGCAATTTGATGCAAGGAAAGCAGCACTCAGATGGCGATAGCCGGGGGCGGCCGGGATTTGAACCCGGTCCTTCTGCCTGCCGGTCATATGTGCTACCATTACACCACGGAATTCGGGATGTTATGCCTCTCAATGTCATCGTAATCATTAAAGTTGTTTTTCGCAGCGAGCACTGTCAGGCTGTATATGTAGGGAGGAGGCATTTGTTTCGCAACGGAAAAATGCTCCTGCTACAACTCACACTTTAGCACCAGTCAGTAACAATTTCAGAGCCTCAGGGTAATGAGGTGGCAAGGCCTTTTCTGGAATTAGTCGCTAGCATTGTGCCGCGCATGCACTAAATTCTCTCTATGCCTTCGAACAAGTTCTTGAAACTGATCAGTACTGTTTAAGTATCATTGGTGTATGTACCATATGCTAACGCTAATAGCCCATGAGCTAATCGGTGATCTAAGAATATTGAATGTGCTTGGGAGACGAAATCAGCAAAGTCGTCTTGAGTCTTATGAAAACGTACTAAACCGTTCACAATGAACGATTGTGGCATTCAGCCGGAATATCATGATGATGGTGTTTAGGAACAGAATCTCCAAGAAAATGTAATGATGCGGTTAAGTTCCGAATGGGTAACGTGATGAGGAGGAGATTGTCAAGGAGACATTATACTCAAAATAGACGATTCAAATTTCCACCTGTTAGGCGGCCAGCGTAGCGGCCGCAGGCCGCTAGTACATTTGAAGTGTTGGCTACGTGCTTCTCAACTCATAATACGCATTCAGTCTAAATAGAGCCCTGCTCCCCATGACTGGAGTTAGAAGCCATCATGTAGCCGATAAGTAGGATGGAAGGTACTACCTTACATTGTCTGGGATATTCTGGAGAGACGTGGGACAATTCAGCCTTCCAACAGAAACTCCCATCCTATCAACAGCTACCTTATATTCCGGAGTCAGACATCCTTTCCATCAAAAACCCTTTTCTTGAGAGAAATGATGATAAGTCAAATGAAGCCCATGATGTCCCCTTGGAAATTGAACCATCCTCCCACTATCTCTCGAGACAGAGTTTTCTGGAGACTCCTTGGATTAAGTTACCTCTAAAGACCCATTTACTCAAGAATTCGAGTATCTTCCGCTCTGGTTTCTCGTATATGGAGAGAGATCGGCTACCTGGTGGAAGGTATAAGGGGAATGAACCCAGATGTATCAGGAAACTTGCAGAGCCCCGCGCAAATTGCGCTAAATAAAAATGTGGCGATTTGCAAATTTTACTACAGATACTCAAAATCTTACAGGCATATGATCAGAAGAAAGGTGTTTTGAACTCCAACATTGAATAGCAATTCTAGAAATTTGGTCTCTTGACTTTTATTGAAGAACAGGTAAAATTATGAACGTTATAAATTTACTTGAAGAGATAATATTACATTATCAATTGAATTACTGTCCTTCCAAATGACATCGTTTCTGGAACTTTCCAGGCCGGTTGGGTTAGTTTAGGCTAATACTAATGCCAAAAACATAGGGAGGCTCAGCACTCTCCCCGGTATTTTATTCAGCTGGCAGTTGCTGCTCAAAATTGACGTCACATAACGACATGGTCACGGAAGGAAAAAGTATTTTTGCCAGCGGCTTCGAACGAGTAGAGATAAAAACTAGTCTCGCGCATCTGCAGCATGACCATGCCGAAGGGGGCAGATTTTTGACAGAATCATGCCCCGTGATGAAACTTGGTGTCTTCATTTTTACGATGACCCCATAGAATGAAAACCTTGGAGGGTCCACAATAAAGGACAATTACATAGCAGAGGCACCAAGAACAAGGTGTCACCAGATGCGAATGTTCCACGAAAATGCAAAAAGATAGGCAGATGAAACGATGAGACAAGCATCTTAATGTTCATAGAGTCCCATATCTGAGGGTTTAATATATTTTTAATGCCTCTTTGACAAACCCGGCTAGAAATTGTTTAAAATATGTAGCTTTTACTACACAATCAATTGCAAAATTCCAGTAGCAAGCTGCATGCAATGGCGACATTCCGCATCGCCTCAGTCGAAAAAATTCAGGGTGATGACGATGTGGTAAAATCGACCACAAACATTCAAAATGCCTTTGGCATTCAAGAGTTGCAATATCGATGCCACGAGTACATCCGTGTGGGAAGGGAGCATCTCGAGAAGGAGTAGTATTATAGAGATCAGATGTATAATCGATTTTCTGGAATGAAAATTGCAGTTAAGTATTGAACCACCCTCGTAGTTATGTAAATTCGATTAGCTGAGACACCCAATAAATATGCTCTTTCTCAAACTTTGCAAAAGAATGATGGACCTCCAGTACCGAAATTCAAAGATTAACCCTGATACAGTAATGTCATAATCTTATTAGTAGCTCTTAAGAAAAGTTTTATTTTTATTATTGTAATTCAGCGGCAATGTCAATTCAACCTTAAAAGTTGAAAAAAACCCTTTCCCTCTACAAGGACTCCTGGGGATATCCTATCCACACATGGATTTGCAACAGTTACCTTCAGTATGCTTTAGCCGTCCGTATCCAGTGGGGATTCCGATCGTCCTGTATGGTCTCAGCAGAGTTTACTTGACTAGTTTGAGATTCTGCGTGCCATTCATTGCAACATTTCCTCGAATTAACCTCCCAGGGGAAGGAAGAGTTTAATTTAAACAATAATACAAGTACTTTAATTATATTCTGGCTGAGTTGAGACTGCCATTTTGCAATTCTCATTAGCTGGCCTTGAGCAACCTCCATCAACAGTTTTTTTTAAACCACTTTTTACGTCTCGCACATAACAATGATGGATTGAAACTAGTTATTTCCTTGTCATATTCATCACATCACTCAAGACTAAAAGTCTGGAATTTATTGTATAAGTTCTGTATTTAATCATAAAATGATATTTCGTTCACATTTAGGAGTCACCTGATGACGGAATACAAGAAGAGGTTCCACGGGGACAACACACATCGGAACCATTCCTACTTCTCCATAAATGGCAAAAACCTCGTACACATGGGAAAGTATCAAGCGTAATCGCCTGAAGCTACGGGATGAATGCAACCTGGATGCCCTGGAGTTGCTTCGAAAGTTGGAAGATGAGAGCGTCTTCACGCGCATTGAGGTGAATCAGATCCGTGATATACGAGACCGCAAGCAGCAATATGATGAGCTTTTCAACATCCTCATGTCCAAGAATTCGCAAAAATACTACCCCATTTTCCTTCGGACACTCGTTGACATTGACAGGAAGGATATCAAGGATTTCCTCCAAGGTATTTTCATTCACTACGTAAATACTTTTTTCAGCTTTTCATATCATTTAGTCCTGAAGCTTGGAATGAAATCTGCTTCGCAATGGTTTAACGCGTTCTTTCAGCAGAGTAGATTTATTACATGATCGTTCTAGAAGTTTCACGAAACGCATGCTTGCGAGTTTATTTGCCATCGCTATGGACGCACCTTCTGCACTCCGTGATTAAATGAAATTATTTATGCATTTCTCGCACCGCTATTGGAAACTCACCCTCGATGTGATAAAACGCCTTGGCTTAGGCAATTTTGCGCCTACGGCGCTCTCACATTAAAAACAAAGTTGTTTCATAAAATCATTCATCGAGATGTCCAATCAATTCCTTCACCAGGATCAACAAGTAAAAATTAATCCTGACACACAACGAAGGGGTAACGTTTTGCACGTAGTATGGAGGGGGACGGGGGGGGCGCATGATGAACGGATCTCCTCCGCCAGAAGCACCTTCAATGTCCTCCCGTCACCAAGTTTGAACTCCCGGCAGTACACTTCGTGCGCTAGATGCTCCATGGTTTTTACCTCTGAAAAAAAGCGCCCGCTGGTATAGAAACGTAGCTTCGACTAATTTTTACAACAAATAAGACCCCGATTGCTGGCCAAAAGAAGCTTACAGTAGATCTCGATAGCAGGACTATTAGGGAAGATGATCTTAGCGAGTTTTGCAGGGGAGGTGCTGCACAAGAGGAAACCTCTGCCTCTACACAGCTCTCTATCCCACGAGCTGCTGCCACACACGCCAGATACATATTTGGACACAGCTCAGAGCATCTGTTCCTGTGTCGCAGTCGGTACGGAACAAGACATTAGTTCGACATTTTTTATTCCATCAGGGGCTAGGACCCTTTCACCTGGAGCAGGGCGAGTGGAATTCTCTTCCCTCTACAGAGCGTTCCAGTTACTCGCCAGCTCAGATTAAAGAAATGGTAGACTCGCTGAGAGAAATGGGTTTAAGTACTTCTGCCACACTCAACTTTGAGTTTTTAGAGGAGACGAACGACTCTCTGGTCGAGCAATGGTCTAGATTTTCAAAGTCCAAGTACAAATTACTCTCCTCGAGTGTTTCGTCCCTCCATAAGCAAGGAAGTAAATACGCAAATACGGCGCTGGCGCTATTTTAAGCACAGCTGAGAACCGGAGATGCTGATGAGAGGCTGGCAACCCTCTTCAACATCTCCCGTATATCAGCTGAGCATCGCCATTCAGCAAAGTAGGGCTTGTGCGCCTTTTCAATTGATTAGCATTCCTTTCTTATTTCATCCCTCAAACCGAGTTTCATGCCACAATGAAACCAGATTATGATTTTAACAAATGCATTCGATTGGAGTTTTCTTCATTTTCGGGAATGAGTGAATTATTTTGGTGCATTTCACTCGGATTGCAAGCATTATTAATTACTGAAAATGTTCTGAAATGTATCATACTTCTCATGTGTATCATATTCGTTCGTACGTTTCATGAATACATGATGCAGTCATTTCTGCAAAGGTCAATGATATTATGCCGTGTATATCGTCATCTATGAAAAGATGCACTCCATACAAATCCATGAAAAAGCCACATAGAAAAATATAGAATTACTATTATTCATGTTTTGTTTATTGAGAAGGTTTTGAAAAATGGAATAACCTTGCATAAATGATTTCCATGTATTCCTTACTTTCTTGTTTTCTTACGTTCTGATATGGAAATATCAGAACGTAAGAATATATGTTCAGGTATGGGCACGTCCACCCAGAGATAACGCCTTGGAGATTAGTCATATCTGGAGCGGTTGGAAGTGGTTGCAACACCTTGATAATGCCAGTTGATGATAAGCATTATCTTGTTTCGCATCGTCTGTAGTGAGTATCCATCACAACAGCAGGGATGTGCTCATCTTTTGCACACCCAACTAGGTTGCAAGGCAATGCGAATTTCGAAGCGTGACTTGATATTGTGAAGCACAGTGGCTCCATGCGTAGTTCAATCCCAGTATCCATACTTGAATGCATCTTCTTAACCGCATCAATCCCCAACTCATGGCCTATTATGGTGAATAAGGTTACAAACGTTTCTTCGCAGATCATTGCTTGATAGAGAACAAGCATGTCTTTCAAGCAGGCTTCACAAAGGTAAGAAATAACAGTGGCGACATCTAAAATGATTGCTGAGCATATATTGAGGCAGTTCTACTTCGAATCTCAACTAGGAAGATAAAACATGAAGGACGTCGCAGATGTCGTGGCTCTTCACTCGGACGGCTTGGAGTTCACAGAATTAGATGAAGTATTGAAAGACCTCTCGACCGAAAATATAATTAAGAATTATGAGTTCATCGAAGTTACCAAGAAGGGGACAAAGGAGAAAATTTCGTTCCTCCAGGAAGTGTTACCAAGAAGGGGAGACGACGCGTTTCCGACCTTCATTAAAATCCTTCGCAAACGGAATCATGCCAAGCTTGCTGGCAACATGGAAAAAGGTACGTCACGGGATGCACTTGCAGGGGCAGCCTTATTAACCCTTTCATTGCCCGTCCTCTCGAATTAAGGAAATCACCGAAACGTTCGGATATGCCTGTCATGGAAAGGGTTAATGATATACGAGGTTCAGTCAAATGATAACGATAGAAAATAGCGATATAAAATACTTTCAATTGATGGACATCCAATACTTTCAGTGCATGCTTGCAGAGATTGCGGAAATATCTATCATAGCTGGCAACCTCGTGGAATTAGAAAGAAACAGTGCAATCGCTTAAGCAGCATGGCGCTCACAGTGCCTTGTGAGTGCCTAGGAAGCCTGGCGTACTGTAATTCACTTAATGACTGCTAAAGGTGTGTCACCTGTCGAAATCCATTCCCGAATGAGTGCTGTTGACAACAATCGCTTATTACCATGGCGGCGATCGTACACATGGTGCAAACGTTTCCGAAGCGGAAGCGAGCGTTTATAAGATAACTCACGCCCAGGTCAGGTCAACCATGTCGCCACAGAAATTACGAAGTTGGACTCTGTGCCTCAACAATGGCTGGGAAATTTCGAGAAACTTCGATACTCGCTGAAGAAAAAAAACCTATTCTCATTTTCACTTAACTGACCCATGTAACTTATAAAAAATAATGGGTCTTAAAGTGAAATGAACTGGGTCAATCCTATGTCCTCTCCACCTTCATGATGAGGCAATACTCTGAGAAGAACCGATAAAACTAGTTTCAATGCGATTGTACTTAACGATTGTGTTAGCTTTAGAATGCCAAACGGCTGCTTATGAAGTCTTCTACTCGGATCTCATCCGTCCACCGATCCTTCCTCCATAACATTCCCATAAACCATGAGTTTACCAACCGCGGTGTTTTTCAGGTACGTAACCCCCGCGGTTGGCGAGGGATTGCTGTACTGCCTGGGTTTCTGGTGCTGACACGCAGATACGAGATGGGGACCACAGGAAATGAACCAACAATATAGGGGCTAGTCCCAGTCTCAGAAACCTAAACGACCAGCAACACACATAGGCTTAGATGAATGTAGGAAGACATGGACCATGCAACATACAACACTATCACTATCCGCCATTCGAACTTTTTACAAGCTCCCATCTCCGATGCAGGATACTGTTATTAATACTGTTATTGTTTTTCCCATCTACCGATGCGACTGTGATACGGAAAAACAATACACCGCCTCAAAGTTTCTACCGCCTTTCGCTGTCGTTTGGAAGATGGCGCCACTCAATTTTGTAAAGCACATCCTCGGATGATAAGGAACGTTTTTGTGATAACCTGCAGTTCATACCTCAAAGCCTTTGGCCTGAAGATGTGTCACACACTAATATACATTGTCACTCGGCCTAGCTACAGGTAGCGGCCAGGATCGTGCACACTAAATGCTTAACTGGAAGACTTCGATTTTTTCACAACCGAGGCCCTCCGATTTGAATTAGGATTATCCTCCCACGTCCATTATACGAGGTGCAGTCAGAAAGTCCGTACCGCTCGCTTCTAGCAGTCGTTCCTTGAATAAGTTAGAATAAATAATGGTTGGACAAGGTAGAGTGGTCAGTTGTGAGCCACACGTCAAATTGTGAGCATCGCTGGTGTTGTTGCTTGTCTCCTGGGTTGTTTTTTCAACATAGTGTTTTCCCTACTGCCCCTGAGCAATAGAGTTCACAGTGGAAGAACAAAGAGCCGTGTTCAAATTTTTCTCAGAACGTGGGGAAAACGCAACGAAAATTCACCGACAGCTACTAGAGGTGTGTGGGGACTCAGTCCTCGCAGATTGCACGGTTCGCAAGTGGGTCCGTGATTTTGTTGTTGGAAGAATCGCCATCAATGACAAACCACGCCCCGGAATGCCCAGAACTCAGAGCTCCGAAGAAAACATTGCACGTGTTGAAAATCTGGTGATGTCAGACAGGCGAGTAACAGTCGATGAAGTTGCAGGGAGACTAGGCATGTCACATGGAACCGTGGTCAAAATTCTGAGTGATGATCTGAAGATGACCAAGGTGAGTGCTTGGTGAGTGCCTCACATGCTCACAGAGGCATGGAAACAGGTCCGTTTCACATTGTCTTCTGCCATGTTGACCCGGACCGCGGCTCATCCAAATGACTTCATGGATTTGCTTATCACCGAGGACGATGTGTGGATCCCATTGTTCAACCCAGAAACAAAAAGACAGTCACGACAATGGAAGCACTATGACTCTCTGCCACCCAAAAAGTTCAGTCAGGTCCCTTCCAATGAGAAAGTTCTTTATGCAATTTTCTGGGACATGCAGGGCCTGGTTCTAGCTCACGCAGTTCCTAAAGGTGCTACGATTAGAGGAAACTAATACAAACATGTTTTACAAACTGAGCTTTTACCAGCAGTGAATAAATTGCGCCCGTTGAAGGCCAATGGCCGGTTCATTCTTCACCAGGACAACGCACCACCACACAAGGCAGGTGTTGTAATGGAATTTTTGTTGGAAAAGGTTTCTTGTCCTCGGTCAGTCGGTGTGATACCCAAACTGATGCCACTTGGCGCAGTTGCAGGTCTTGTGTGAGCACCTAGTGGATAAAGCTCTTGCCAACGTCGAGCCACTCAGCCAGCTTTCGAGGAGTCACTTGGCAGTCCTCAACCACCAGATCTCGCACCCTCTCGACAGGCTCTAGTGTCCGGGTGGATCTTGGACGGCCACTGTGGTACTAATGAAGAAAGGAAGGCTCCCCCTTCATCCCAGCTGCTTCTTTGAAGCTGCTGAACCACTGGACGACAGTAGACCAGCCAGGAGCGTCATCGCCATGCATAGTGACCAGTTCCGTGTGACAGGCAGCCGCCGCAATACCAAGTTTGAACCGCATGAACACGTAGAAGCGAAAGTTCTCAGCTCTTGTAGCCCTAGCCAAATTGATGGAAACAGTCCGCATTGGACAGAGCTGATAGAGCTGTCTTTCGAGGTCGACTCTGTAAGCACTTATCAACGGATTGACTTGTAAACTATCGGCAATCACAGACAGTACATATTGATCTAAATGCCTAAACAGTCAGAATTGCACTGCTGGTAGAATTACAACTTTACAAACGATTCTCATTACTTTCCGGACGCCCGAAGTATTTCGATCAGTAAAGGCATGCAACATATAGATAGAAGAACAATCACATGCTATCCATCCATTTGAGGGAGACGCGCTGTTGCTTCCTTCCAGGACAGGAAGATGTAAACCACCTCATGGATCACACGCACCTAAAACTTGTTCGCTCCGACGCGACCTGTAGTTATCATTATTCATTCTTATTGCTTTGGTGGATAGCAATACAAAAAAAGTATATCAAGTTTAGATGACCATTTGACTGTTTCGGAAGAAGACTAGTGGATGCTATTTAAATCATCTTTGAAGGATTTAATTGGGCATTCGAGTGCGATATGTCATACAGTCTGGCTTGGTGCTGCACATTCGCATTGTGGGCTGTTAGATGTTCCATATTTGAAAAATGTGTCCGGATCTTTCTTGCAGTGTCCCTTTCTGTTCAAGTAGGGTCATGTCTTTCTTGGAAGTGCGAATCCGGGCTGGGGGGTTGTGGGATCGCTGATGATCGACTTCTTGACCTAACATTTCATGTTCATAACTAGATGCCTCGAAACCCCTGATCTATAGGCCTACTTCGTCCAGTAAATCGAGGGTTGAGGGTCCTTTAAACAGAATGTAGTAGGTATAGGTCTGACCTGATTACAAGTCCGCAGAACAGGCAAAGGTCAGGCTTGCCGTTTATTGTGTCTAGTAAAGAGGGGGGAATCCTTTGAAAATGTTTTTCACAATATTTCATTCACGTTGCTGCCATGTTGCCCCCCTGTGCGTAATAGCCAGGCCTAATTAGCATATTTTAGCCGGTGCGGACTCATTCGATAGGGTCGAATAATAATTCTTTATTTGTAGAACTGGAGAAAAGGCGTGGAGAAGAGGAAGGTCCCCCACCTCAGAAGAAGAAGCGCATTGACCCCAATGTCCCACCAAAGGATGTAAATGATGTTACTAACGAAGCTTCCGAACCGTAAGCATGAAGAACAATTTAAATGCTTATATTGCCTATGGAAATGGAAGCATGCAGGTTTTTTTGGCAGATATTTTTGGCTTTTTGGCGTGATCCCATTCCTTTGTCATTGCCAGCATTTCTCAGTATACCGAAAGTGACCGCAGGAACCATTTGAAACGGCAGAAAGGTAAATATACAGGACGTTTCAAAAGTCATTACCGCTGTTTAGACGACTGCCCGCAGGAAACAGATGAACACGAAATTGTGAATATGGGGTGTAGACTAATTTGACCAATTTGAAAACGTTCGCAGTTTCGTGGTGGTCAATTATGATATCGTAGTCACACATTGTAGCCTAAGGTACCTTAGGAATAGAATGCATAGACTAAATGCTTATTCGAACAGTTTTTAACAAGTCACTACAATGCTGATTGTGAAGCAGGGAATTGAACCCACTGGGCTCTCTTATGCAAATTCCAGAAATAACGAAGCAGCTTTGCTTGCTTATCGATGGCAGCAAAGCAAGATGCGAGGGCTATTCCTTGATGACTTTTGTTCCCCTGCAGGCCAGTTCGCAAACAATTCAACATTCCATTCAAATCGGTCAAGAATGCTACTTCTGTCCACCACCGAAATTGGTCCATTTCATCATATTGCTTCGTTCTCTACTCAATGAATAATTTAATTCCATGTCGAAGATGGAAAAAGCATTCAAGGACTTGCAATAAGACGTCATTTCCAAAATTTTCGGCAAGGTATTCCTGATGCAATATGCAGTGGTAGCGCAGGATTTCAGGCTTGTTAAGCTGTCGTTTTAGCACTCCAACTAATCCGACATCACCTCCAATCATGGGAGGGCAACCATCTGTACAAAGAGAGACCAGTGGCTCAGGAAATACCAGGTTGGAACAAATGTTGAAGTTTTGCAATGGATGTCAAGTCAATGGATGAATCAAGCGCCAAACTGAAATACTGACAGTCTCGCAGCTCGCTAACAAGGCTTTGGAAAACGTAATCTGCCAATTGCTCCGATCGTCGTGCGCATGTTGTGTTAAAAAGTTGCAGTTTCTTCACTTCTTGCATTATTAGCTACTTGGAAAAATTCTGGAGGTGTGTGGCACAAACCACGGTAATGCAGTCTGTTAAAAGCTCTGCGGCCATGAAGGGCTTCATTTTGCTCGCCAGCAAGTACTGTATACACCTTCATATGAAACTCTGGTAACAGTTTCACTTTTGTTTGTAGTCATCAAGATTGTGCTTTGCTAATTGGCAATAGCCCATTCAGGGTTTGAATTTTTTCCTTTCGTATTTTGGAGTCACGGGGAAAATCAAGGGTGAATGACACATGCTTCATTGAGTGGTGCCGATCCAAGTTATAATTCTTTAGGATACCAGCAGCTTCTTCGCACAATAGACAGAGCACTTTCTTCTTTTTCCCCCGTATGAAAACAAATTCATCTTCTCAACACTCTGGACCGCTCATTTTTCGTCGTCTAACTTCCACTTCATTGAATTGACGCCAGCTATATTAATAGCAAAAAACTATATTGGAACGATTATGAGCGCGCACTGGATTGAGACCCACAAAAAACACTTGCAAAGTGCAGAATGAGAATCACTTTGAACTGACTCTTGAAGTATGACTTTCATTGCGCCTAGCACTCCAGACAGACATGGTATTACGCATCCCTCCCCATTCGCCCTGCATCATCCTGATGCCATAATCTCTGTGGAAGGTCAAACTTGTCTCGTTTCGCTGTAGCATGTGTCACAAGAGAGAATGCTGTTTTTCAGGCAATGTAATGTTTTATTACTTACTGAATGTCACTGCGCCGCATGGAAGTGGCAACTAGGCCGCTTGCGGCAGTTTGAGTACCACTGATTTAGTGCGACCATAATGCCATCATACACCAGCACATGACTGAATACGTTTTCTTTCGCATGGTCAAGTTGCACTAAGCACCAAATTTCAAAAATTTCAGTCCATTGGTTTCCTGGAGGCATTCGTCTGAACAGCGGAAGCAAAATTTGAAACGCCCTATACGAGGGATTATGCAAAAGTCCGCGGCAACTATTTTTTCCCTTCCGCTCATTGTGATGATTATATTTTTCCTTTGTTCCTTCATCTTTCATGAGTGTAAGGAAAAATATCCGGAAAAATTGAAGTGATGGAGACGCGGAAACGGAAATCGGATGAAGCTGAACCGGTTGAATTTCCGCCGCCGGTTGTGGAGGAAATCCGGTACGCGATTTTGTTTTTTTTCCCGTCGTGGGATAAAGGGAAGCGAGATTCTTCGGGAGCTTCAAGCGACTTACGGCGAACATGCTCCAGGCAAGACGATGGTCAACAAGTGGATTTCGCGATTTAAAAGTGGAAATTTCAGCGTCCACGACGATCAACGTGATTCACGCCCCCGAAGCTCAACGGACGACCAAAATGTGGCGGCAGTGAAGGCGGCGATCGACAACGATAGCAGAATCACCCAAGAAAAGCTCGGGGCAATGCTGAAAATCGGCCAGGAAGCTGTCTCAAGGATCCTGAATCGACTTGGTTACACCGAGAAGTCTGCAAGATGGGTCCTCAAGCTTTTGACGCCTGAACAGAAGGAGGCTCGAGTCAAGTTCGCCAAGGACGCCGCCCCCTTACTCCCCGGACCTGGCCCCCTGCGATTTTTGGCTCTTTCCAAAGCTGAAGGAGCCTCTCCGTGGGAAAGTCTTCGAAACCGAGGAAGAAATCTCCCTCGACGTCCAGGAGCAGCTGGATCATTTGGAGAAGGCCGATTTTGAATTCTGCTGGATTTACCGCCTCCAGAAATGCATCAATATCGGCGGGGAATATGTTGAGAAGTGCTGAATTTTTTTTCGGTTTGGGATCATGAATGCTTCATGGAAAAAAAATGGGAAAAAATCTGTCTACATTATTTCTTTGAGTTGCCGCGGACTTTTGCATAATCCCTCGTATTATGAGCCACTAGTGTAAAAGCCCGTGCGCGCATGGGCTGAAATAGTTCGAATCAGAATATTTCGTGGATGACTTTCTTGGTCTGCGAAGCAGCGTTTTGTGAACATCGTCATGTAATTTTATCATCTGACTGTGACTTCAGAAGTTCTTGATTTCTCGCACGTTCAGCAGATCCCGCCGCAGAATAGTATAAACTTCCCCACTTTTTTCGGACATTTTGAGGACGCCAAAATTTTAGAAATGATATCACCATCTGAATGCACCATCTGAATGCTGCAAACTTACATGAAGTACTGTCTTCAATCGGCGACGGGACTGGTAACGCGACAAAGAATGACATCTGATCATTGCCAGCTGTTAAGATAGCAACAACTTCTGTTGCCGACAATGCCTCGTACTCTACTTGCTGGTTGTGAGCACTTCGTCCTGGAAGGCATTCAGTAAAATGCTATTATCGCCGAAATTAGGCTCCATGACGTCAAAATGGTAGAACTTTTTGAACTCTTGACCCAATAGTTATCGTCACTGGGTTACAAATGACACCTATAGCTTCAAACTGAGACACACAGGACGAATTTGGAACTCTCAATAATCAGATGGAGGACGAGAGAACGGTTACCGTCGTCAGAGACTCCCCATTTCCCTTCTGTAACAATATCCAGTGAGTTCCATCGCGTAACATTCTAAAACGATATAACTTACGAATTTTAACAGACTTAATTTCAATAAATTATAGGGGGATGCGTTTCGTCTTTCGGGAAACCCCAATGGCCTGAATGCAAATGTTCAGCGAGTTCCGCTTCTTAACCCTAAAATGAAACACGTCGTCCTAATTTAAGAACGCCCCGGTAGAATAGGGGACGATTTTGAGATTGACCGGTACGTGGATCGGCCCGATAGAACTGATCTGACCCGTGTGTCGGGCGTGAAGGTCGGTTGACAATCCGGTTTCCGGTCGGATGCCTGTCATGACGTATGAGCCCAGGAACTGTTCAGTGCTATGCTATTCTTATTGACCGAAATTTGGCCTTATTACATGAAAAAGGGACAATTTTTTTAACTTTTGATCCAAGAAGTATCGCCTCCGGTCATAAGCTTTCGATTGATATCTCACGCATGAAAATCCGCTCATCCGTCTAGGAGTTTCCCCAGACTGACACCCTAAGAGACATATTATCCTCTAATGTCTTATGTATATGCCTATGGATAAGAGATGGCCAGGCATCGATTTCACACAATCCATCCTTACGAAATAGGTTTTTTCAGCGCATAGTGAAAATTTCATAAGTTTCAGATTTCCCAAAATATTTGTCCTGCACGGTTTCCCATGTCAAAGGCATGATTCACCATCCTGTCTCCTTTGAAATGTTTTACCCAAAAAAGCGGTTATGGACAGATCTGCGGGGTTCCTTCGTCTCCCCTTGGGGCAAATACGTCATAATAGAACTAGAGTTCTCAAGCCAGAGTCTTAAGCGGACTGCGGACCGCCCACGCGAGGACGAAAAGATCCGCGGCTCGGAGCATGAAAGCTAGGTCGACGATCGCTTCCGGGTCGGGTGCGAGCCGCGATTCCAATAGGGCCGAACGAGGTTCAACTTGGAAAAGTCAACCCGTGCAGGCCTCTGACGCGCAGAAAGACAGGAGAACCAGTAGAAACCACGTTTGCAGTGTACTTTTTACTTTTGACTCAAAAAGTATCTCCTCCTGGTCATGAGCTTTCGATTGGCACCTCAATTTTTAAAATCCGTTCATCCGTTTTGGTGGAGTTGCTTGGAATGAAAATGACAGAATGACAGATTAGCCTCTATGTACGTGTACGTATGGATCAATGAAGCCACGGGCTGCATGCATGTGTGCTAGTCAGGATGTTTATAAAGGGTTTTCCTTATAGGAATCTTTCTTTATTTTACTAGAACGAGAACGAAAAGGAAGGTCCCCTAAGTGATTTTGTTTAAATTGTAAATACGTCGCATTCTCTTCAAAGGTACCTCATTGTACTTTCGAACGTTAGAGATTAATAACCTAATTCCTAAAAAGAATCCTGTGAATTATCTTT